AGAGAGCCAGAGAGAGAGAGAACAGTCTGGGAGCTCGTGAGGAGGGCTCCGGCACGGGGAGGAGGCAACCCAGCCTGCGTGACTCATGCAGGCAGCACCGGGGAAAGCTTTAAGCCTCCTGTGGGAGGCAAAGCAGGAGCACCCACACAGCCCCCAGAAGAAGCTGACACCTAGGAGGCAGGGGAGCTGCCTGCTTACGGTAGGAGAGAGGAGGCATCTGAGATCCGTAGAGGGGGCTGGGATAAGGGAGGCAGCCCTGCAGCCCCCTCCTACTCATAGGAATATTTTCTTTGAAGTAAAATTGACCCCAAGAGGGGAGAAAGAGTGGTTGGAACCCTGTAGACAGGCCCTCGGCCATCCTACAGGGCCAGAAAACATCATTAACACATCAACCAGTTGGCGAGTGGACAGGGTGCAGGGGAGGCAGAGCCCCGTGGAACATCACGCCAACAATCGTAAGTACTGCTGTCCATCGGGAAGGCCCACCCAGGAAAGATCTCCACTGAAGACCCCTCTTATAGTAAGTTTTAACATCAAAGTCATGGCAGGTGAGTTGAGGGGAGGGGCCACACCCCGATAAGCCAGATGGCTGGAAGGGCGCAAGACGCCACAGTGGTGCATTTTCCAGGAAGGTCTTATACGTCATCAACAGGACAGCGTTCCTGACCCGGGATTAAGCAGATGTAGCAGCCAGTACTAGCTCACGCAGAGCTGCTTACACAGGCGATTCAGACAGTGCAAGTGTTGGAGGTGCAGCAGCTACAGGGTGCACACCAGCAAGAGTGGATGCAGCGGAATGCTGCTCTATTCAAAATGCCCCGAATGACTAGGGAAGATGATCCCGAAGCTTATATTGAAGCTTTTGAGAGAACCGCTATCCAGACGGGGTTGGACTGTAGTCAGTGGGTTCATCACCTAGGGGCGCTAGTGATAGATCAGGCTCAAGCTGCCTACTGAGCCCTGTTGAGAGAGGAAGCCCGGGATTATGAGACAGTCAAGGCGATGATCCTCTACAGGCTCGAGATTTCTCCAGAAAGCCACCAGCAGACCTTCAGAGCCCCAGATCCCAGGGAGACTAGATGACCTCAGGGCTTGTTGCAAGCTTTAAAGGATTCGCTTAATAAATGGTTACCAGCAGGCAAGTTTGACCGGGAGGGGGTGATGGACCAGATCCTGCTAGAACAGTTCCTATGGGATTTGGAGGAAGACACCCAACGATGGGTATGAAGGCACCAGCCACAATCCAGTGAAGAGGCACTACGCTTGGCTGAGGCCTTCACTAATTCAGAAAAGGAGAGAGAATGTGGGCAAGGCTCACGAGGCTCAAAGGAGGGCCAGCCAAATGAAGGGGAGAGGTGGACAGGTCCGAGGCAAGGAGCACCGAGAGGGGTGGTGTGTTATCGCTGTGGGAAAACGGGACACAACTCCCGCGAATGTGGTATGGGCCTGAGCAAGTTGAGCTGCGCACCAGCAGGATATCCTCCGTCCCGTGAGAGAGGCAAAGAAACAGAGAAGGCAGAACCTATGGATTGCAGTTTTGGGTTCGCCACCCAAGAAGGTGGATGGAACTGACCCGTAGTAACTGCCTGGATCAGAGGCAAGGCAGTCAAGGCAACGTTGGACACGGGGTGTTCCCAGTCCCTGCTACGTGCAGACCTCTCCCCGCAGACAGGACGGAAGAATGCGGAACCCCTGACGATGACCTGTATATTAGGGGGAGAGATGCGGTTCCAGAATTGTTACGTGCCATTCCGGGTGATGGGGTTTTGTGGGGAGCTGCGAGTCAGACTAGCCCCGACCCTGGCTTGTGAGATGATCCTGAGGCGAGAATGGGGGCCATTCTACACAGTTCTCGAACAAGTGAGAGCGGCGGAAGAAGAAAGGAATCGGATCAGGAGGGGAGAGGGATGGGCTGGCAAGGGCTCAGCCCATCTGAACGAAATAGCGTCAGGCAGCATCAACCTGGAGCAGCTGGTGAGTGTGGCCCAATTCCGTAGGGCCCAAAATGAAGACCCGGAACTCCAGTGGCTATGGAACACAGACCCCGGGGAAGGATCGTCACGGAGTCGTCCCGGCTTCGAGGTAATAGGGGGGTTATTATATCAGATCCAACAGGGTGAGGACGGCACCATGAAAAGGGGGCAGTTAGTGGTCCCATCCTCACTCCGCCGTGCGGTGTGGAGATTAGCTCATGACTCACCCATGGGGGGCCATTTGGGGCATAATAAGACCCAGGCTCCGGCATGGAGAGGAGCATCAGGTGGTACAAACCATTGCCCGAGAAAACTAGATGCCACAAGGCAACTTAAGGGGGGAGGTCTGTGGCGGTGAGGCACCCCCACAGGCTCTCGAGGCGGAGAGAGTGGACCCCGTGGGCCCCAGGCCCTGAGAGCAGGTCCCCGGTGGAGCTAACTTACCTCGCGCAGGGCAGCCAGAGCAGGAGCTACGCCTGCAGCTGCAGCCGCGCGAACTGGCATTATGCCGGCTGTTTAACCAGCTGTTTCCGGTGCAGGAAACAGCTGAGCCAATCCCAGCGGCCGTACCGGCCGCTGCAGGAAAGTTTAAAAGCCCCACCAGATCTGGGACAGGGAGAGAGCTGGAGAGAGAGAGAACAGGCTGGCAGCTCATGAGGCGGGCTCCGGCACGGGGAGGAGGCAACCCAGCCTGCGTGACTCATGCAGGCAGCACCAGAGAAAGCTTTAAGTCTCCTGCGGGAGGCAAAGCAGGAGCACCCACACAGCCCCCAGAAGAAGCTGACACCGAGGAGGCAGGGGAGCTCTGCCTGCTTACGGTAGGAGGGAGGAGGGAAGTGAGCACTCTTGCTTACGGTAGGAGAGAGGAGGCATCTGAGATCTCTAGAGGGGGTTGGGATAAGGGAGGTAGCCCTGCAGCCCCCTCCTACTCAGAGGAATATTTTCTTTGAAGTAAAAATGACCCCAAGAGGGGAGAAAGAGTGGTTGGAACCCAGTAGACAGGCCCTCGGCCATCCTACAGGGCCAGAAAACATCATTAACACATCAACCGGTTGGCGAGTGGACGGGGTGTAGGGGAGGCAGAGCCCCATGGAACATTGCGTCTGATGATTGTAAGTACTGCCGTCCATCAGGAAGGCCCACCTGGGAAAGATCTCCATTGAAGACTCCTCTTATAGTAAGTTTTAACATCAAAGTCATGGCAGGCGAGTTGAGGGGAGGGGCCACACCCCGATAGGCCAGGTGGCCGGAAGGGCGCAAGACACCACACTTTGGTTTCAGAAATGTTGTCATCAGCCCTAGTGTTTCTTTGCTTCTGCTGTCTTTCATGGAATTCCTTCTATCTATAGGAAGTGGATGTGTGAACCTGGGTATGCTAGTTAAATAGTTAAACTCTCACCTATTCAACTAGTTATATCTCAAGTTAGACAATATTCCTAAATATCACCCTGGGGAACATTTTGGGCAATTCTCTGTTTCTCTAGAAACCTTCATTAGACTTCAGCAATACTTAAGGATGAGTTATGGAAGTTAAATAACTCATAATTAACTAATATGAAATTCCCCAAAGCTCAACAACGTTTTCTTCAAGGAGCAGTGTAGTTTAAATGTGCTTCAGAAGAAAAGTGACTTGAAATAAATGGATTAAATAAAAACATCTTCTGTAGAAAAGCCTAATGCAGAGGAGCTGGCTCCAGTGTTGGTGTAAAATACTAATGTCTACTGTTCTGAGAGTTCACTTGCCTGCCTTGCTGTATTTCTTGGGGTGAGAGAGTATAAATGCATGACACCACTCACATCTTTTATTTTCTGTTAGCTGATTGTCTACAAAATTGGATGTTTTCTAGGAGTTATCTGAACAAAATATAACTGGAGATATCATTAGCCAGTTGTTGTTATTTTTGTTGCTCGCGTTGCCTGTCAGTGGGCATGTCTATACATGGTCATGTGGCAACATTGTATATAATATATATTACCTTTGTGCCTGTTAATAATAGATTTATAAAATCTGCCAAATGTAGTTGCAAATGGTGCTGTTAAATGTAACAAAATGAAGGCAGCATGTATGTCTCTCTAATTTACTTAGCTATTTAAACTTTTCACCAGCCCGCTGTTTCCATTTGCCCCTATCTCTGAATTAGGAATAAGAGGAAACTGAGGTGGCAGTCTTTGAGAATGTGTCACACACTGCACTCTGATCTCTTGGCAGCCTGTAGTGAGATACATTATAATGCTCTCAGCCACAGTCTCTGAACAGATGAGCCAGTCATTTGGCAGCCACAATGTGGCAATACAGGAGTTGATGGGGTTTTAATTTAATACCTCAATCCATGAATGGACCCAGTGGCAAGGGAGACATTCTTCTACATTGATTACTTTGGGAACATTTCACAGAGTATCACAGAGTATGTAGTTTTCTCTTTAAGAAACCACTTTTGTAAGTATTTCTTTGTGTAGAACAACATTGTTGTTGTACCTCTTGTATTTTAAGAATGCTAGTGCATTAATGGATAGTATTTGTAATAACTTTCCTCATCCATGCAGTCTTATTCTTCCCTTTATCTTGTTGAACAGGTTTTGGAATCAATGATTAATATAAATTGTATGCATATCCAACATATTGGTCTAGCAGAAATCATTGGAGACCAATGTACGATTATAATTAGTATACTAGAATTTCTATTTGAGGAGTTCAAAAATTGAATGTCCTGCTCCCCCCACTCCACTTTTTGTGCATATTCATGCTTTATTCTTGAAAACAGCCACTTTAGAAGACCAATTCAGTTTAACTGGGAAATAAAGATGGATATTTAATTTTAAATATGGGCACAAATTGATTTGGAGAATTATTTTTTTAAGGTCCAGGTAATGGGTAAGAAAAAAGGTCTTTTGTTCATTTTTTTAAACTATCAAATTTTATATTTTTTGTTTTGTTTTTAGTTTTATTTTTTAAGGCCACTTTTAGACATTTTCCATTGCTTATATTGTATTCACATATGTAAAAGCTTTCATGTTTCTCTTCATTAGGACATTTGTAAGGCTTTGTGGTGCCACCGTGTTGGCAGAAAATGTGAAACCAAATTTATGCCAGCTGCTGAAGGCACTATGTGTGGGCATGACATGGTAAGGATGAATCATATGGACACTTTAGCAAAAGTAATGCTGTTTATTAAAATGCGTGTGTGTCCGTGTGTAAATATGCGCTGCATATTAATGGCAATATATCTGCAGCCTTCATCTCTGCAAAATATGATTCCCTGACATATTTTTTAGCTAGAAAGCTATTTATCCCCCTACATATTTTATTTAATACTGTAAACTGTGGATACCAAAGAGAAGTGCTTGGAAACAACACACCTCTACAGTTCATATTTTGCCAGTGGAAAGGAAGAAATGCTCAATGCCTACCTTCAGACTAGAAACGTAGCACCCAAGGCTCCTCTTGCTAGATGTATACATTTTACTAAGTGGGGCTAAATCAGTCTGGATAGTTTATTGTTTTAGTTGTTGTTAATATTATTTAGGACCTCACTAGTCTTTGTGTCTGCAAACTTTACTACTATTTTCCCCCCCAGAGTGTTAATATTAGAAATGAGCTGAGAACACATCCCTGAATGACCTTGCTAGAAACAGCTCCTTTGGATACTGATTTCCCACTTACAATATTCTTTTTTTTTTTGGTGATATATCGGTTAACTTGTTTTTAATTCATTTAATGTGAACTACATTTAATATGGACTATATTTTTGTGCATAGTTTCTTTTTTATCAGATTGTTCTACTAGGCTGTCAGATGTCATAACATGGCTAACCACCTTTTTCTGCTTATGTCAAAAGCTCCCTTTATCACCCAAACTCATCAAAAGCTATAACAAATTTGCTTGACGTTACCTGTTTTATTTTTTATGTATTCTGGTATCAAGAACAAATTCTTAATCCAGCTCAATTATAATTATGATTGGGAAGGCATTTACTTTATTTTTCACTGAAAGTGGCTATTGAGATTTTTTTTCTCAGCGTTTTTTAAATCTTTGCTTCACATAAAATAAAAAAACCATCACATTTATTTCCATTTATAAAAAAATATAAGGAATGTGTAAATTTAATCTGTAACAGATTCAGAAATAAAATTCTGATGATCATTTTTATGGATTGCCAAATAGCAATTTTCTGAGCACAGTTAACACATGGCTTTACCTTCCCCCCTGCAAATTGGATTAACAATGGAAAGTTTTTTGGGTTTTTTTTCAAATGGAGGGAAAAATATGCCATTACTTCTCTTGATGACACCAATTATTAATGACAGTCTTTTTCAGGTTTTTAATTCCTCCTCTTTTATAATTAAGATTGCTTGAGGCCTACAGGTTTACAATGGATTTATATATCAAACTCTACTGGTTCCATTGGTAGGGGGTGAGTGTGAATTATTCAGTCACGGGCCTTGTTTCTGTAAAATCTCATCCATGTGAGTTAATTGTTACTCCCTGCAGATAAGTCTATTTGTGATCAATGAGCTTGTACCTCAAAAAAGAGCATCTTACCCTGGAATTTGGTTTAAGGGCTGGAGCAATGTTGGGAGCAATGCAGGGCAAATTAACTTTTTGTGAGTTGTTGCTGTGTGAACAAGATGCTTTCTTGTTCAGTGTTTTTTGAATGCACAGGCCAAGGTTTGGGAACATAACCAGAGATTATCAGAGCTCATAGGCCGTGGAACAGGGTGAACCACCTGGGCCATGGCCTGACCAACTTTTATCAGGTTAATTTAGCTACTTATGCAGTTAAAAATTAGCTATATAGTTTTAACTGGAATGACAATTGCGCATTTGTGGGTTATATAAATTAACATGTTAAAAGTTGGCTGAGCTAAGGCCCAGGTGGCCCACCCCGTTCTGTGGCCTATGTCAGAGCTCTCTCACTTGCTCCACTTGTTTGTGCATTCATTCATTCTTCATTGTTAGAGCACCTTTAGTTCTGCTCAAGCTTTTGTAATAGCCTCTTTACCAAAACCTGGCTGCAGCCTAAGCAGCTCCAAATTTTAAAGGTATCATATACTGAACATTTTTCAAGGTAAATGCAGACAGATAGTATATAAACTCTTAACATCAAAGTCATATGCTTTCTGGTTAAATGGATATAATCATGGTTGACAGACAGAAGAGAAGTCGAGTGTTCTTTTCCATGAATAACACACAGAAACAATTAATCTCATGTACATTACCTTAAATGTAAACCAGATGTCATATGGTCAGTTTACTTTTGTGTCTTTCTGCATTCTCCATCTTACAACGTATAAGGGTGCTTTGGCCAAAGATCATTTTCATAATGCAAGAAGATATTAACTTAATTAATCCCTAACCATAACAAAACCTAATGAGAAGAACACATGCAGTTGCTTTGTAATTTAGGAAATTATACATCATATTCTGTGTGAACACTGTTATTAATTGATCTTCTGGAGGTAGGCTGCTTTCCCTCAGAGACCTGTACTTGCTTAATCTCTGAGTAGCCCTGAAGGAATCATTGTAACTGCATACAGGATAAAGAACTATTAAGCTTAGGCAAATCTAACATCCATGTTTTGGAAATTAAAATGAGATAAATATTGGTGAAGAGTAGGAGATCTATTTAATGAAGTATTAAGAAGATTTGTAGTTTAAAGCAGGAGTACATGGGCAAAACCTAAGAGTTCTAGAGATAATATACAGCATTTTTTTCAAAGACTCCTATACCAGGATCTCAAATCCACATATGGCAAGCTAAAAACGGAACTGGTACAAATGGCACATACACTGTGTCCTGTGAAAGTACAGAATAGAAGTTACCTTCCTCCTCTGCTCCTGGAAGTAGTGTGCGTGACTCAGCCCTAAATCATACCAGAATAATCCCAAACAAATCAATTGAGTTGCTCTGTATCTAAATTGGACAGATTCTAAATTAGTCTGTTGTGGCTTCCAGACCAATGACATTCTCATGGAACTTCTGCCACAGGAGATCGCTTCAGCACCGGCTTCAACAGAGGTTTATAGCATTAAACAACGGTTGTTTGTATACTGCATAAACCTGTATAATTCACAGCCAGAAGTTTAAATATCATTTTGAACTTGAATTCACTGTCTGTCAGGACTTTAAAAAGACACTATCAGAAATTAAATTTGTCAAGGCAGCAAGCACCAGTTATCAAATTCTGAAAAGTTTAATTGAAACTGCTTTAACAGTCTGAGCCATTTACTGTTTAGCAGAAGCACAGAACATCAAAGGGAAGCTAAGCTAAATTTACTGTTCTACCTGAGGGTCATTTAAAGATATTTTTAGTATACTTTTTCTTGTTGATTTATGTAAAGTTACTTTTACATTATAAGACATGAATTAGCAATGTACTTAAACTGAATTTTTCACAGTTAAATATTTAAGGATCAAACATGACATAAGTAAAGCCAGTTTCTTTTCTTCAGAAGTCAGTCTTTTTTTCAACAATGTATTATAAGGTATTTACAAAATAACCTATCATGTAAGGATGACAGAAGTAATGAGACCTGTCTTTCTGTGACTTAAAGATTACTGAACCATTCTGAAGCATTTTGTTCAGGAAATTGTGGGTAAGACCTCAAATGAAGATTGAGGGACAGAGAAATGAAATTGAGGATAAACTGTTTCATCTCCAGGAAAAATTGTATGACCTTAGACTTTCAGAATTCTACTACCTTAGATACTAGAGCTAGGGACAGACATTCCACATACACCAGGTTAAGTGATCAGAAGCTGGTTTAAACCTGTAACAGAACACAAGTTCAGTGCACATGAAGCCATTTCAAAATGGCTGAAACTGGTTTAAGATAAACCTGGTTGAATGTAGTATCAGACTGGTTTATGTAAAGTCAGTCCCAGACCCCTTCCTGGTTTAAGTTTCATAGTAGCTAGGGTCAGGAGGGACCTGAACAGATCATCTAGTCTGACCCCC